AGCTTTCCTTCCGTACAGCTTTGGAGGAGGAGAGTGAAATGGTGGCCTCCCAATCTCCCAAGCCGAGAACTTGGGGCCCCACTCCTCAGTGCGCCCCCAGAGAAAAACGGTCAATCACTCCTGTCTCCCTGGTCTCCGGCCGCACTCCGTGCTCACCCGGCTTGTGACCGAGCATTTCTATCTCTGGCACCTGACCCCGTGTGCAGCCTCCAAACCCAGCAGATCCCTGCAGTGCGCTCCTGTGCAGCTCCTCCCGGGGGAGGAAGGTGAATCTCCCTGGCTCTGCTGCTTGTTGAGTCCCTGCTGGAGGAGCATTGACCCGACTGTGCCACGGATCACGGTTTATGACAACCCCGAGCTGAGAGCCCGCGCCTCAGCTCCATCTCTGCAGCCAGCTTCCCTGTTCTGATACCTGGAAGCTCTGCCGCACTCAGGCACCCCCGGTCTTCCTGTGATCCCGAGGGTCCTGAGACCACACTGTCCCACGAGGGTTCCACCCCCCGCTTAGCCACTGGAGCGATGTCCCTCAGCGGAGCAGACTTCTAAAACTTCTGATTTTGTGCTCCGCTGCTCTATCACTTGCCAGTAGCAGCCAACGGAGGCCCCCTCCCCCGCCATCTATCTTCCCGAATATCGCCTCGGATTCACTTCTCCGCACGTCCTACCTTCCAGAAAGTGGTCACTTTTCTGTTCAGAGAGTTGCTGCTATTCTTTTCTTCGATCTCCTGTTGAGTTCTTAGGTGTTCAGAATGGTTTGATCCCTACCTAGCTGAATTCCTGGGACCAGATGAAATTTAGGTCTCCTACTCCTCCGCCATATTGCTCCTCCCCCGAGCATTTTATTATTTTATAAATAATTATTTCAGTATGTTTCTGTGCAAAATAAGAACATGTAACAGGGCCATTATCACACCCTAAAAATTAATTATTAATCATCAAATATGCAGTTAATGTTCAGATTTCCCGGTTGTCTCAATGACTTTTACAATTGGTTTGTTGAACCTAAATCGAAACAAAACCATCACATGCTTGATATGCCTCTTAAATCTTTTAATCTACAGGTTCTTTCTCTGACTTATTTGTTGCAGACACAGGGTCACTTGTCTTCAGTGTTTTGTGTATTCTGGACTCATCCAATTGCATTTCTCTATGTCATTTGTCATGTTCCTTTATGTCCTATATTTCCTGCAAGCTTGGATTTAGATCTAGAGGTTTGAGATTTGGGTCTGAGTTTTTTTTTCTTTTTGGTAAGACTTCTGCGTAGGTGGTTTTGTGTACTTCCTATTGCATCACATCAGGAAACATAATATGTCTAGTTGTCTCTCTTTCTGTGATGTTAAGATTCATCAGTACATTACAGTGTTATCAAGTGAATGTATAAACTATAAATTTTCCTGTTGGCTTTTCACATAATGATTTTAGCAGCCTCTGATGATTGTTGCCTAAATCCATTGTGTCATTGGGATTGCACGATGGCTGTATTCTCTCACTCCCTCTTCATGTATTAGTTGATATTCTCCTCTAAAGAAAGACTTTCCCTTATTAAATATTCAAATACTAAACCGAGATACAGTTCTTCAAGAAAGACAGGAGACATGTTTTATTCTTTCTCTTTGTTTTCTGGTTTTCAGAATAATAAATTGGTTCTCCAGCATCCTACAAAAGTGATCAATAGGTTGAGATTTTTTTTTTTTTTAAGCATCTTATGAACTCATGATTTTAACATTTGGCTGTTCTTCAATTCATCGTGGTTACTGTTCTTTTTGATGCCCAAATTGTTCCATCTTTGACAAGGGGGAACTTCTTGAATTTAGCTCCTGTGAATTGGACTTTTAAGAACCAAAACAAAGGGGGACACCTGGATGACTCAGGCGGTTGAGCATCCAGTTTTTGGTTTAGGCTCAGGTCATGATCTCGGAGTCCTGGGGTTGAGTCCTGCATCAGGCTCTGCACTCAGTGCTCAGCATGTCTGTTTGGGATTCTCTCTCTCCCTCTGCCCCTCCCCCTGCTCACACACACTCTTTCACTCTCTCAAATAAATAAATAAATAAATAAAATCTTAAAACATAACAAAACAAAGGAATTATGTATTTTTATGAATGTTTTCTGAAAGTTATGAGAAAATATTGGGCCTCTGAAGGTTACATTTAGGTGAGGACAAAGACAAATCCCAGTGAGTGGGCTTGAGTGTATTATGAGAAAGAATAAAATTACTTATGATTGCACTTCATGAAGACCTGGCAAATGAAAGGCACCTATTACAACAGTTACTGATGATATTTTGCTTTCCCAGATGAGAACACTTTGTGAAGTCAGTAAATCTTTCCACCTGAACCAAATAGTTATAAATCTACCCTTCTCAAAGGAGTTTACAGTCAATTTTGAAATATAGTACTACATTAGTTAACACTAGATTTGGTGTTAGTGACAACTTCAAAATAACAGAGGCTTAGAAAATGTAGTTTTATTTCTCTTTATGTTAAAAAAGAAAAAGTTTATTCCACGCTGGCATGGAGGATCCAAGGTCATTAGGAAATACGGCTCTTTCTACCTTACCCTCTGTTGTCCTCAATGTGCACTTTTCACCTCATGATATAAAATAGCTCCTCCAGCTCCAACCATCATATCCACATTCTAGTCAGTAGGAAGGAAGAAAAAGAGAAGGAAAAGAGTATGATGACGGCCATTAAGGACATCCCCTGGAAGTTCCACTCATCACATCTGCTATGTTCTGTTGGCTAAAAAATAGTCTTGTGACTGAAAAATTTGGCTTTTATTCTGGAAGCCATATGCCCAGATAAGCTTTAGGAAGTCAGTTACTCAGAAGGAAGGGGCGGGGGGAGTAGCTGTTTAGGGAAAACAGCATTCCTTGCCTCAAGCCCATATTCAGAGAGGAAAAAAAATACTACATCTTTTAGCAGTGTATTTCCACACATGTCTTAAAACCTCAGAATGTGGGAGAGGGGATCATGTAAAGTATCCCCCTTCCCCACCCTCTTGAGTGTCTTGACTATGCTGGAGCATCCATCATATGAAACAAAATTAAGCTGTAGTCTGATAATTTACATTCAAAACAAAAAATTTTAGATGGTTGCTCTCCTATCCAGCAATAACGATTATTTTGTTTCATTATTTATCCCTGTCCAGTATACACTATCTCTGCTTCCACTGATATTTCTTGGTTATTTACTTCATGCCATAAGTAAGGCTCACATATTATACTTCAACCATGTGCTATTTCTAAGGCAAGATATGTGACTAGCACCCACCATTCAGAGTTTATGGGATTCAGTCCTCAAAAGGAGGCTACAAGAAGACTAAGGATCAGAGAGAGTAAGTAGCTTACTCAAAGAGAAGTAACTTAGTAAATAACAGAAATGGGATTCCAACACAAGTTTCTTTATCTCAAAGCCCAAACATGCTTTGTTTTTTTATGCCATTCATACTTGTTTTCTGCTCTTCCACTAAGTTTTAGGATAGGAAAGTAATCATCTATTTGTAACTCCTATGGGCTTTCATTTAAATTTTAAAAAACAATAAACTTCAATATATTTCTCTTAAGTGTTTTATGGTCATTGTCTCTTTTAACTGTCTAACCCAGTTTGATGATTATTCATTTGATGCATTTTTTTTAACAACCTTTATATGCACCAGGCATTGTGATTGTTGCTGAATATATAACAGTGAGCAAAACCACACATAGTCCTTACCATCATGGAGCATCTAGAATAGTGGGGAAGAGAAACGCTAATGCAAAAATCACCCTCCAGATGTACAATGACAACTGTCATAATGGGTATCAAGAGAAAGGTATAAGGGATCATCTGCATATAATTGGCAAATTTGACTTAGGAAAGCCTGGAAGGCTTCCTGAGGAAGTGACATGCAGGCTAAGACTTGCAGTATAATTTAGAGTTAAAACAGGCAAAGCAGGGGAGAGAAGCTGTTTTGAGGCAAAACAAGCAGATGTTCGAAGTGGTGTAAGGGGCATGCATGGGGGCTGGAGTGAGAATGGGTGAGCAAGCTGTGAAATGAGACTGGCAAGGAAACCAGAGAGCAACCCTGCAGTGCCTTGTATAGGGACACTGTTATCCCCTTTCACAGATGAAAAACCTGAGGCTCAGAGCTCTTGAGTAATTTGCCTAGAGTCTCACAGCTAGTTAGGTGGTGGAGCCAGAATTCACACTGTGGTAGATAGAATAATGGATCCCCTAAAAATGTCGATGCCCAATCCCTGGAACCTATGAATGTGTTAGGTTACATGGCAAAGGGGAATTAAGGTAGAAGATGGAATTAAGGTTGCAATAAACTGACCTTAATATAGGGTGATTATTTTAGATTATCTCGGCAGGCCCAGGGTAAGTAAGCTCAAGGGTCCTTAAATTTGGAAGAGGGAGACAGAAGAGCATACGGTTGTATAAGGTGAGAGAACTTGACCAGCTGTTGTTGGCTTTGAAGATGGAAGAAGGAAATCAAGAGCCAAGGAATACAGGTGGTCCTAGAAGCTGAGAGGGCGAGGAAAGAGATTCTACCCTAGGGATCCTCCAGAAAAGATTGCAGCCCTGCTGAAACCTGAATGTTAGCCCAGTGAGACCCATATGGGACTTCTGAACTACAGAATTATAAGATAATAAACTGTGAGCCACTGAATTTATGATAATTTGTTACAGCAGCAAGAAGAAACTAACACAAAAACTATACCCATTGGCTGTGTCCCTCCACCCCCGTGCGCAACATGCCTTAACTGTCAGCCGGGCTAACCCAAGGACTGTAAAGATGAAACTCTAATACTTCTTATCATTTTGAGTCTGTCTTCATATATCATTTCCAAACCATACGGCAAAGGGTATGTATAGATTTTACATACATCTCTTGGTTTTGTGAATTTCTAAAGGATGTGGTTATAGCCTTTGACATCAGAGGAGAAGCTCCACATTGTTGACTGAACACTGATCGAAAGATAACGCTGGAGGCAAGAAGCCTTTTAACAGCTCTCTGAACATCAACTGCCTCCCGAGTGTGTGCCTCGTGCCCGAAGCAGTTTCCACTGGCCGTACCACGGGGTGATGCCCAAGGTGCATCACTTCCCAAGAATTGGATCATGAACAACTTTATCCTCCTGGAGGAACAGCTCATCAAGAAATCGCAACAAAAAAGAAGAACTTCTCCCTCAAACTTCAAAGTCCGTTTCTTTGTTTTAACCAAAACCAGCCTGGCGTACTTTGAGAACCGTCATGGGGTATGTGAGCACTTTGTCTTTTTTTAAACAGTATTTTTTTTATTTAGAGTGGGCTGAATTATGAAGATATACGTGGAATAAAGTAAAGCCAAAGGAGGCACAGACATGCTTGTTAAATAACAATAAGAGTCATCAGAAGAGAATGTGGAAAAACGTCCAGAGGTGGGGTGGTTGTATTAGGTGGTTTTAGTTCTAAAATCTGCAAAAGAATGTTTAATATTCATTAGTGTTTTTTTTTCCTGCAAGTTTAATTTTAAAATTATAATATTTTATGTGGCAAATGTTATGATTGGATAGAATATGAACTTCATCTGAAATATGCTAGATTTTATGGGACATAGATTAATAAAATATTAGCATTTAATGGGACTTAAGGGATGGATGATCTAGCCCAGTTTCCTTAATTTATAGTGGGGAAAACTGATACTTGGAATGGTTAAGTGATAAGTTCAGTGTCAGTGTTTTTATTAATTTAATTCTATTTGTCCCAATGGTCATTACTCACTTAATATCTTGGAATAATATTCCCCGGGCATTTAATTATCTAAAATTTGCAAGGTCCAATGGTAAACCTCTTTATCCCTTGGAAAACTTAGCAGGAGACAGGGGCTGTCACAGTGTTATACAGTATAGACCAGGGGTTCTTATCCAGAAGAGTACAGCTGTTTAGCTAGGTCAGTCTTTTTATATACCTAGAGATATTCTTATATTCCACAACATCAGTGATACTGTTACGATTGTTCCTGTTGCTCTTATTATCACTGATAATAATACTGTTATTAGACCAAACTCTACTCCTCTCTAGGTGACTGAGCCTGGGCAAATGTCTCTACCTTTTGCATCAGATTCTTTCTTTCCAACATGAAAGATCTGGAAATACTACCTACAACATTCCTTTCTTCTTTAAAAATTCCAGCACCTGTTGAGCCCTTCTCAGCAAATTTTCAAAGCATGTGTGTGACTTCTTACTATGTCATTGTATTATTTTTTTCCATCATTAGGGAGGGAAAGCAGGGGTTTTCACTGATATTTTACTGTAGGGGAAGTAACATTAGGTGCTTGGTGGTCACTTAGAGACAAAGGCATCCCCATTCCTTGTTGGGATCTGACTTGGTAGGTTTCGGCATGAGTTTGGAATCTTTTGAGAGCAGGCTTTAAAGTGTTCAATGAAATAGAGCCCTGAAGGAGGCCAGGCTGGGTATGAAGCCTATGGATGTTGCAGGTGAAATCAGACTGCTTCTTCTTTAGAGGGTCAGACATGCTCATCTTCAGCAGACTCGTGTTGAAAACAATCAGTAATCAATCTGAAGGCATATGGAATTATTTTTGGACAGGGCCCCTTTGCTAGATACTCAGTAATTATTTGTTGACTAAGTTAACAGAGGGTTAGCAGTCAACTTGGAGGACTTATCATACACAGCTGATAAATCACATGGCATCAGTCAATTTTCTCTCTTCCTGTGATATTAGAACTTCTTGTTTCATATTGAAAGAGCAGCCATTTCTTTTAAATATTTTTTTCAAAGCCCATTTTATAGCTCTCTCCAATTCGTTTTCCTGACATTTGTTTTCCAGGTATCATCAGCTTTAGTTAGTACTGATTATTTTTGAGCAGTGTTGCTGTTTGTGGGCTGTTTGGTTGTGAATTTAGTACAATATTATTTGCAAATAATTACACGACCAAATGGTCTTGATTCCAAATTTTGTTGGTTATAATTTGCATATAGGCAATGTTGTAAAATCACTCCCTTATTCATTTATTTTTTTTAAATTTTATTTATTTATTTGAGAGAGAGAGGAAGAGAGAGAAAGCACAAGCAGGGGGAGGGGCAGAGGGAGAAGTAGGCTGTCTGCTGAGCAGGGAACCCCATGCAGGGCTCAATCCCAGGACCTTGGGATCACGACCTGAGCCGAAGGCAGACGCTTAACCAACTGAGCCATCCAGGTGCCCCTCACTTATTCATTTAAGTATTATAAAAAAAATTCCGGGGCACTTAATTCTGGGGAACCTTAAGCTGTAGTTCCTAACATTTCTATATGGGATATAGCAGATACATAGTGCACAACATCAAATTTTTTGTGTTCTAATGCCTATGGTTTATATTCATATACAACATTGATAAAAGCATTTCTTCAAATATAAAAATCATTGGTTAGAAATTTATCCAAGGTCACTGAGAAAGTAAGGTATGTGAGCTATTACTATTCATACCCTATGTATGTTCCATTGTTTTGAGCCATTGATTTGCACACAAGTGTGCACTGTATATCACCTATAGGTAACAACAGCAGAACGCTTATGGGAAGAAACGTTTTTAAAAAAAATTAAAGCCTTGGGACGCCTGGGTGGCTCAGATGGTTGGGCATCTGCCTTCGGCTCAGGTCATGATCCCAGGGTCCTGGGATCGAGCCCCACATCGGGCTCTGTG